TGGTAAAGTTTTTGTTCATTTATCTAGAAAAATTTCCAACTTAATTTATAATTAAAGTTTATTTAATTAACGTTATATGTATTTAAATTCGAATTAAGTTAGAAATATATAATCTATGTCCGGTGATGAAATCATTGACAACATACTAAGTATTTCAACCTTCCCCATTTTAACTGTAAAGATTTTTTTAAATTAAATGCATTTCATACCAGTGCATGTTCACGATAGTGACACTGCTTATGTAAATGGTAAATTATAGAAATCTTTTATTCATCATTTATTCATCATTACAAAAATCTGAACATGATTTTAATTGTGTGCTATCATTATTCATATGGTTTAAAATTTAGTTTTGCGAATATTTGAACCCAGAATTAACTCGAATATCAAAACTCACCCTGAGAGCTATCACGCTCAGCAAAATTGTCAATTTTAAGTGCTGAATTATCACGTGCTCAGCGGCGGAGGAAAACATCGTGAGGAAACCTGCCTATTTTCGAAATAATAACAAAAAAAGTATTTCGAAGTCTGTCAATCCGCTGTGGCATTGCGTGGTGGGCTATGTCCTAATACCTTACTGGAACTTTTGCAGGCTGTTACTTTACTTTTTACTTTAAAACTAACATTAATATTAATATGCAAAGAATTTTTTTTTGTGTTGTGCGCCGCATTTCACCCAACAAAAAATAAACAGTAAAAAAAATATTAACTATAGTATCAATTCAGGTCATATTCGAATATTGAAATCAGTCCTGTGCAAACCACCATTCCGACATTAATCATGTAGTTCACTGCACCAACCAACTGTCGTTGTCTTTACTCCGTGTCACTTTTCCTTCGGTATAGACGCATATTACTCCTATTATACCCGCCACTAGAGTTATATACCAGCACTAAATACTTAAAAGGCCTTATGTAGGCGTCTTACTTCATCACCCCGCCTACCACGCACACAGAAGCGTTTCAATATTTATGATGTTTACCCACTTTCAGCGATAATTGTTCAAGGATGACTTAACGGGCTCATTTCCCCTTTTCTATACTGCTATTAACTTTATTACTTTGTTTTGTGAGCATTTAAATTATAATAGGTCATTGACACGAACGGCTAAAAGTATTAATTGGTGGTGCCGTCTGCTGTCTTCATACGATTATATGCATTGTCATCTATTATAAAATACAATACTTCTTTGTATGACTGTCTGTGTGTGTGTATTTTGTATTTTCAGGGAAAATCTGATACTGACGAACTGCTAAATCTTTCATAAAAATCAGACCTGGTACTAATTTTGTATTTGAACACGTAAAAAATATGATTATATCGCTTCATCGTCCCGCTGTCTGTCCTTCTTCCCTTTGTATGCTTAGATCTTTAAAACTACGCAACGGATATTGTTGCGGTTTCTTTTACCAAATATTGATTCAAGAGGAATGATTATATATATGTATCATACATTGCACCCGCGAGACGCCGGGGCGGGTCGCTAGTATAATTAAAAATCAATGCAACAAAAATATGATAGATTCTTCCTTATCTCGCTTAAAGGGACTTGTTTCGAAGCGGAAGAAAGATCAAGGCTCTATAGTCAAAACAGACTATTTAAAAATTGACCAGCTTCTAATGAACTCAACCTGATCTTATTCCTCTTCAAAAGAGTCACGTTAATGTCATAAATATAAAGATATTTAAAAAAAACATCGACATCGCAGATTATGTAAATAATAGCGAAGCTTTGACATATTCTGTAAGACAATCGACAATGGATGCGACTTTCCGTTAATTTGAAATGCGAAATTTCATTTTGATGCCTTTCCTCAAAATAAATCGGTGCCGAAATCTTTTCGTTTTTATCTAGCTCATTATAGAAAGCCGACTTCTAAACATGATTGCTTTTATGGCGCATAAAATTATAAGTAGCCCCTTGCACGTTGCATCTTATCATCCAATCATAGTCCAAACATAATCGTCCAATCGTGAAGCGTTAACACTTTCTATTGCAACGTTCGCATTCCCAGTTTCCTTATAACGTTGGGTAACACCTTCTAAAATGGCGGCGAGGTGCCCCATCGGGCACCGTTTTATTGGCTCTGATCAAAGTCAAACCGCGAATGAGTCGTTACCGTTTTAACTACGCAGTTCTTGATTTTACACGCGGCGGACACTCGGTATTTCGAACTAATACGAACAAATCAAATGGAACTTACGATTTGATTTAATTTGGTCATACCAACAGATTTATAGACGTAATTAAAGTAAATATTCTGTAATCATCTGTACATATTCACACACATTATTGTTAATAAATAACAGATAAAGCGTAAGCTATATTTTTCCTATATTATTTGTGTTCAGTATTATGCGCACACCGCCGATATGCCTGTCTAAATGAATGAATAAATCATATGGACTTTTTCATAGATGCTCAAATATATGATGAGATTAGGAGGACAGAATGCTGAAGTAACACTTTGATTTGTGTAGGCAGTGAAAGTGAGTTATTGAATAGTGTACAAAAAAGTAGTTTCATGTACAGTTGCGAACTTAAACGTTTTATACCTGTGTTAGAAATACATTATTAAACTGAATAACTATTGAGGAACGAGATATAGAATTAATGACGAGGACAAAATTGAAACACTATATAGTACAATATAACGATATCTATTTATGAGGTGGTTAAATGTTTTATAATCAGAAAAAAATAGGAAAAAAAGACCTATTTTATACATTTATCTTTTACCTATTTCTTTTCTTAGGCAGTTACTACAATATCATAATTTTATAATAAAAACGAATTAACTTTATAAATTATGAATTAAACTTATACTTGTTTTACTAATATTTACTTGAAACGGTAAGAAGAGTAAAGTCTGGAAGTATTTTTCAGTAGACTTATACACATTTTCTACAATAAGTAAAGTAAAAGTAAAGTATCAGCCTATACATGTCCCACTGCTGGGCAAAAGCCTCCTCTGTACAGAAGGTATCAGGGCATAGTCTACCACGCGGCCCCACTGCGGATCAATAATAATAACAATAATAAGTTTTTTGTTATAACGATGTTTTCCTTCACCGCTGAGCAGGTGATAATTCGACACTTAAAATTAACAATTTCATTGGTGCCGGCACCGGAGATCGAATTCAGGTTGCTCGAGTATATTCAATTAAAGGCGAGCGCTCGGACACTGAGCTATGACGGCTTTACTACAGTAGCGGCTAATATTGTAAAAATTATCGATGACGATGATTAGGAAGTATGATCAGGCTTTGACTCATTACGTTACTGCTAATGACTTGTAAAACTACCTTCAGAAATATATAAATTAAATTTTATTGAAATTTTTAGAACCGATAACAGATGGGGATTCTCGAGTAACCTTCATAGTGAGAGACAACCCCACATTAGATGGAGATGCGACTTGTACAGTGCGCGGGAAGTCGATGGATGCAGGTGGCTCAGGATCGTACTTCGCGGCAATCTGTAGGGAGTCCTACGTTCAGCAGTGGACTCAAACAGGCTGTAATGAGTATAGAAGCTTTGATGCTTTGAACATTATGACTGACATAATGAAAAGTTGATGTTGTTTATGGTAAGAACAATATTGTGAAAAGGTTTCTTTTATTATGCTCAAATCTTAACCACTCGACGCTACACAAACCGCTCGGTCCGATAATTTTAAAATTGAACGACCACTTTAACAGTTTTCGTTTATTACGTATTTAAGAGGGTATCCGTGTTTTTAGTTCCTAACAATAAATATTGTATTTGCAAAATTCTCGCTTTCAATGTTGACGTTAATGGCTTTGTCTTTTCTAATGGGCCATTTTTATTACTTAACGGCCCGAAAATGCAAATATCTGCTTAACTTGCGAAGCTTTATTACTACCACTGATGAGATAAGCCCGGAACATCTCTCAGTAATTGAGTAATTTAAAAACAAAACAAATAACTTTGATTGTCTGTTGAGATGATAATAAAATTAACGTGAAAAGCTTATACAGGTATAGTGTTCAATAAATTAGAAAACTCCCAAATAAATTCGAATTTTTTTAATAAATTAAGTTGGAAAAGTTATATTTAGTAAAGGTCGAAAAACGCTATAATTTCCCGTTATAATCTGTATTAAAAAAATAATTTGTATTAGACCTATTATATTATATTATTTTTTGAATTGGGTTTTGGTTTTTATCGTCTTTGTCAAAAACAAATTGTTAATTGTACAAAGAGAACATATTGGGCATACGGTATAATGTTATAACTTTGATAGATTTCTTTTATTTTTATTTAATGGAAACTAACTGTTTTTCATTTTTCAATCACCGTGAAAATCAATAAAACGTAAGTTAATCCGGTCGTTAAAATACAAGTGTATAATGTGTTAAGTAAGTTCTGCATGAGACAAAAAGCGAAAGAAATTTATAATGAAACACATACTTAGGGATAATTTAAGCTTTATAGTTGCCGTTGGATGAAAAAAATTATCTGCATATTCAAGACATTACTTTGATAGAATAAATAATTTTATCGTTATAAATTCAATTTAATATAAACATAATTTCATTTCGGAATCAAAATTTAAAATTAGATTGTTTACGATAAAAACTATCTATTTAACTCATATTTCATACACAAACGTAAATATAAAGATTGAAAGCGCCGAAAACTTCAAAGTTGCAAATTAAGAGATCGCGTAAACGTATAGAATCACATTTGTTCCAAATTCAATATAAAACTAAACAATGTACGTAACAGGTTGCATCGGATAATCAGCGTAACGTATAAAATGAATATGTACCTACTTAAATCACAAAACATGTTCTGACGTTGGGAATATAAAAAAAAAACGCGCGCACCGCGAGTTTATTAATCCATTTATTGAACTTAGCTAGGACTTACTTGTGGTCGGCGACGATAAACGCCCCGTAATCACTGTCGCACAATTCACTTCACAGCCGTTAAAGAAAAAAAAAATAATACCGCACTAGCACAATACTGGCGATGCACAAAATTGCGCCTCCACACGGCCCATTAAAAAGCTATGAGGTGCCGTCGCGCAAGCAACTTTTCGCCCGACATCTGTTGCGCCGCAAGGACGTTCGCTCGAAAAAAAAAATAGACTACGTGACGCAGGTCGATGCCCCCGAAAAGCTCTCGGACCGTGAATGAACCGCCGTCGCGTGTATTCGTTTCTCCCTCTCGTTTTTTCGCTTGGGATCAACGCGCGCGCTCAGCTCGATGCCGCTGGAGCGAATGAGGAGGCCAAGAACTATTTCAAACATCTTTTCTCTAATCCTTTTCTGCGCCCGCGCAAGTGTGCGCTCTCTGAGACATGTGCGCCGGTGTGGGACAGCGGAAGTGGGGCTATCGGTTTCGGCACGATATCGGTATTAATTAAACGCTATCTCGACGTTCCACCCTCGCTCGCGGCTGATATAGTGGATCGGGATTCTCAAATTAAAATCGATCTTCGAATGTTCGGTGTATAAATTAATGTTGACGCCTAAAGATACGCGCGGAATGATATTGACTTTTTTAAACAGTTGCTTGCGCAGTGCAACTTTTTAAAAACCCGGCCAAGTGCGAGTCGAAGTGCGCCAAAGGTTTCCGTACCATTTTATATAAAAACGGCAAAAAAATCATGTCTCCTGTATGGGAGCCCCACTATAATATTTTTTTTTTCGGTTTATTAGTATTTTTTGTTATAGCGACAATAGAAATACATCATCTGTGAAAATTCCAGCGGTCTATCTGTCACGGTTCATGAGATACAGCCTGTTGACAGACGGAGTCTTAGTAATAGAGTCCCGTTTTACCCTTTGGGCTAAAAAATAAGTAAAAATTGAGTCTATCTAATGGTCTTGCCCTACGGACCTTTAGTAAGATCCGGAAATCGCAAGAGGTATTCTTATGATCTGCATATTTGTTTTTGTTTACGTAAAATTAACATATAATATATAAAATCTTACCTTCCAAAACATTCTAAATTTTTTTCTCTATTTTCCACAACTGTGCCGGCTGGAATGTGAGTGAATTTGTATAATCTCAACTTGATAAGCTATTAATTTGAAATAAGCTGCATCTCCGTTGCGCGCGTGATTCCGCATCAGATGCATTGGTGCGTAAGTCGGGGTAGAAACGATCCAAGATACACTGGTTGCTACGATGTCAGTATACCTTTGAGTGTAAAAACGATAAGCGAAACCTGTGAGATTTAATCATTTCTCATTTAATTTGTGAGATGAAAGCGTAGTGATTGTTATAACTATATGTTTTTATACGCTAATAATGAGGCAATCAAGAGTTTGCTCAAGAAAGTTCTGTTTCTGTCCATTATCTGGGTTAGACTCCCAAAGACGTGTTCATATAACTTTCTAATGACCAAACAATCAAAATTGCTGTATATTTTTATTTTTGGTTGATATTCTTCACATTTAGGAAACAATCAAGTCCACAGAAAGAGAGCAGCAGCTATATCTATCACCCTTATTAAGGTATAAGAATTGCTTATTTAACTAACCGTTATTTAAACATAAACAACACGTTTGCCGTGATCACGAGAGCCATGATAGCTCAGTGTCCGGGCGCTCGCCTTTAATTCAATATACTCGAGCAACCTGAGTTCGATCCCCGGTGCCGGCACCAATGAAGTTTTTAACTTTAAGTGCTGACTTATCACGTGCTCCGCGGTGAAGGAAAACATCGTGAGGAAACCTGCATATTTTCGAAATAATAACAAAAAAAATGTATTTCGAAGATATGTGAAGTCCGCCAATTCGCAGTGGGGCCGACGTGGTGGACTATGCCCTGATACCCTCTCTATAGAGGAGGCCTTTGCCCAGCAGTGGGACATGTATAGGCTGTTACTTTACTTTACTTTACTTTTGTATTTAAAATGTATATAGTACGAATTGTGAGGCAGTCTGTTGGGGAGGCCTTTGATCAACAGAGGGCTTAAAACACGATATCAACCCTAACTCACGCGAAAAATTGCTATTGCGAAAAATATTTTTTTAAATGACTATACACAATACATAAACTAACATAAACAGGTGTATTTTTATGTATTATGACCTTAGGTTTTGCAGATGGATTCTTAAAATTTACAGACTAACGGTATTTTAATCATACCACTGAAGCTAAAATACGCTTTCAATAATTGCAATTTACAGGCATATTAATAGTGTTCCAATATGACAACATTGGCTTGTTAACATCTTGTATTCGTATAAACATGATATAAATTATTAACATAATGACCGTTTTCAAACAACAGCATAATCAACATTTACATCGATTTCTACTTGAGAGGATGAGTACTCGTAATTTTATGTCCATAGCCAATTCCGCCTAATTTGTTATCAGTAAAAAACGTATGTGAATTGGATAAATGTTAACTTACCTTTTTTATAATCACAAATTGAATAACACAGAAATGTGCACTAATTACAATGAATTGAAACAAAATATGGCTTATGGCTCATTTATCACTCATTATTACTTATGCTAAGACTTGCTCGTATAGTATAATCTATACTTTGCATTAATCAATACTTTACATTTAATCTATTACTTTGCATTGGTTACGACCAATCTACTCATATAAAGTTTTCTTTAAATGTCATTTTTATTTCTCATCAGAGCGACACAATATATTCCCAAATATTAAAAGCAAAGACATAAATTACTGGTGTTATACTTCGATTAATATTTAGGGCCTCATGAGTTGAATATTTTTTTCTGTTATCAAGATAAAGTTCGAGTATCAGTTTTGTTTTTTTCGTCAGTAATTGGACATTTATATATAAAATGATGTAGTGTTTAAATTTGTGTTTTATTTATCTCGTTTCTAAATTTATGTCTAGGGTGCAGTGATATTTTATGTCTAAACCTAATCTATAACATTTGGTCAGCAATCTCAACTTATTTATAAGTTCACGGGCTTTTATGTATTTTACATTTAAATAATTTAGACAAAACACTTCTAAATTATTACATTCATAATCAATGTATGCTTTCCATATCTAACAAAAATTTGTATGGAGAAAAAATATTTCTAGTTGTTTAGTTTAATTAATAAACTATGTTAAAACTGTTGAAATGTAATATAACAGAAGGTATATTATTATTAATTGCACTTATGTAGGCTTGTTCCAATACAAAAATCAGTTGAAAAAGAAAAGCTATTTGGACAATAACATTTTTCAATCCAATTTGGACAATCTTCTTGACTGTACTGTTATCGAAATTTATCTCTAATATTCAAGATTAATAAAGTGAACGAGAAACTAAACAACAATTTTCAATCCTGTTTTAGAAGTCTCTATGTCAAGTAATGGAATACAATGTCAACTGTAGCCTTTTAAAAATTATTAATAACATAAAAAAAGGAAAGATGACGTCGAGTTATAATTTTTCACAAAAACTATACATTATAGTGTGCCTGTCACACGCAAAGATTTCACTGCCGTTACCACCTTCTCAGGATCTAAGAACCACTTATGGGATTGATATATGTGTGACAAAGCAGTTTCTCCAGTCGTGTGTTTGTAGATTCTAATAATAGTATAAAATATCTTCCCGTGAAAGGTGTAACCGATAAAGAGGTATAAAATATACCTAATGTATGCTAATCAACATTAATTAGTAAATAAAATTGCAGGTCTGTTATACTTTTATAACATTGTTCCTTCAAATTAATTTTTAATAAAGCCACTGAGTAGTTAAAAAGCTAATTAAGATGTCAAACGTTACGACATCGTACGGCGTAGCATCGTTAGCGAATCCCGTTGAAGTCTTTTAAAAAGGCGTAGTCTTATTTAAAAAAATGGATTATTTATTTACAACCTAATGAGTTGCACAGTTGAACAAAAGCTAAATGAAACGATTTAAATATAGCTCAATAAATTCAGAAAATTATTATACTAGTGATTAAAAAAGAAGAAAAGCTGATTGGTTTGTTTGTCAACTTGTACCAAGAGTTTTTATCATAGTCATAACTGACTGTTATTCGTTCTCTATCAAGTCGCTAGGTCGAATGAGTATCGCATTCATAATCAAATACCTTAATTAAACCCTCTCTTCAAATGAAAAAATATAAAGGTGCAGATAGTTATGATTTTTCTTAGTCATATTTTTATTTAGTTTTCGTGACTCAAGTGGTCGCCTGCTGCAATACTCGTATGTAAACTATGTGTTACTTTGGTGGATAAAAAAATATTTGATCCGTTCTAATAATTTGATTTATTTATGTTTACAAAACATGAAACTGAACTTCAATTAATTAACATTGAACATGCTTTACATCTCAATATAATACTCAAATTTAACTATTGAAAACTATATGGCTAAAATTTAGACACATACACCAGGTTTTTTTTACACTTTGTAGACAAAACTTGAATTTAAAACTCGCACTATTTTTAACTCACAGCTAAATGATTACAGTTATAGCTGTGCCGTAAAACAAAAACTATAATACAATTCTAAATAAAGAAGGCTGCTGCTAATCCGACAAAAACCCAAAACCTAGGTTTCAAAGCCACCGAGCTTTTTGAAAAGTAACTCGCCTTTAATTTATTCTCCTTTGATGCATTATCCTCTAAGGATCTCGTTTTTTTAATACATGTACGATGCATCAGCTAACGATGGCTCTGTAAGGACAGCTTGAGCACTATTTAGATAACAATCTTACAGACTATCTAAGGTATGAACTTCATGCTGCGATGTGATTAGTAATATCCTAACGAGCCCGCCACAAAAACAAGTACGGCTTCAATGTGTAGGAATCACTATTTAAACTATAAGCGAAGAATTTACTCCACCGTACGCGAGCTTTAATGACAAAAGTAGAAAAAGAAGACCTGCGTATCGTTTTTTTTTTTATTCCTAACGGTACTACACGGTGGGTTCCTAATAAATCTGTCCATATTTGTACGTGCATTGTTACGAATGCCTGTCTTCTCAACATTCTACGTTGGTATGTGTCGTGAAAAGACCTTTTTATTTGTTAATTATGCTAAGGATTAAACCATATGTTATTTGTTTAACCAATCCAGTCAAATGAAGGGGTAAACTTATGTACTTAACTTTTTCGACACAATACTCCGATTTGTTTTTCTAAATTCACGATGTTTTTCACCGTTATTTAATATGTATAAAAGCTACTTAAACATCCGTGCTTTCATAGTTTAATCATAAATTTATTATATCAAATTATTGTTCACCTCTTCATTCGACTGGGGCGGTTGATACAATAACATAAGGTTTTATCATAAAAGCAAAGGCGACAAATTATCGTTGTAAAACGATAGTCGAAATTGTTTGTATGCTGGAAAGGATATAACAATAAACAATAATAAAAAACAATGTAGATAAAAGATGTTAAGATTTTCGTCGTTGTGGCAATAAGCCGTTTAACACACTGGCTAATGCGTCAGGCCGCGAATGCCGATAATGTGTGGGTTCGATTCCCACACAGCGGCGA